AAAATACCCATCAAGCACAGAGGTAGCAGCATCATGTTTTGTCTGTTTTACTGCAGGAGGGACTGGTGCACTTCAGAAATGAGATATCACAATGGAAGAATAAGTGTAAATATTGTTTAAATAGTTCAGTTTGTCAATTTCTTCCTAATGGACAATAACCCCAGTCATTTAAAAAGTAAATTGCAGATGACAAAGTCAATGTTTTCAAGGGATCAGTCACATATAGACAAGTTTTGTACAAGTGAAAATGTGGAGGAACAGAACCACCTGCAATCCTGACTAAGTTACACCAGGTGATTCAGGAGGAATGGGCCAAAATACCAGCAAACCAAGATGAGAATATGGAGGAAAGATTAGGAAAACAACTCACCCCAATTCATGAAACTTAAAGGCAATATAACCAAAAACTCAGAAAATGAAGTGGTAAATTTGAAGAAAGTAACCAAAATAATTCTCAATATTCTGGCATTTTAGGAAAATAACATAATTGTATTAATTTTCACTGAAAAACTTCAGGACATTTTTAGACTCATTTAATGTAAATTAACATATTTACATTTCTTATATTTAATGTTAATGTCAATCTATACAGTAAATTGCCTAACAGGGTATAAATTAATTTAAACTACAAACATTTATTCTATTTTAATAGTTTCAATGATCAATGTCCTTTAGAGTAAAAAGACGACACCAGGATTTACTTTGACACACATTTATAATAGTAGGCAGTTATTCTGAGGCTCAATCCAAAACATCAGGGGGCAAAATACTACAGATCTGGAACCAACTTCTTTTTGTCTCCAAACAGAAAATTCTTGTTTGGCACTCATTTGTAGCTCCATCATATTAGTAATTGTTACATAAGTATGGGTGACGGATGTCCTAAGATTCCTGCTAAAAAGAGATTCTCCTAGAACACAAAGACGCAAAATCAGAAGCTTAATTCAATCAAAATGCAAATTCAGCCAAGCTCTAGAAAAAGAATATTCTTTTACCTGGAGACTTTCCACAGCAGAGGAGAAAACTGAGAACTAAAACACAGATTGAAAATGTGTTAGATGTGAAACAAAAAGATTACTGTAAAGGATTATACATTATTCACCATTAATCCTTGTGTGTGCGAGGACTGAGGCAAACGTAGAGGACTGTGGCAAATGATACCAGTTTTACGTGTGTGGTGTCGGTTGGACCCCATTTCTAAACACAAGGGTTAAAATGTATTGCATACTTCTGGAGTTTCAACTCAAATAAAACCTTATATGTTGTACATATATTTCAGATTGAGCAGTGTGGGTGAAACGGAGCATTTAAGGAATCTGATTGTGTTTCTGCCACAGAGACGAAGACCTGCTGGTCTTTGAATGTTCAATGATTTATCTGGAATCAGTGGAAGAATAAAACT